AGGGACCTAATCTGTTATGTGTGCTTTAAGGGCATATAACATGTACCAACAGGATTGAGCTCCTTGCAGAGTTCTTGTAAACAGCTCATAATTTTGTACAAAAACCTGGCAGGTAAGGCACTCATTCAGGAAATGGGAGACCTGAGTCATAGGTGTTTCTTAGCCTGAAAAGTTCTCACTGTCAAGAGAGTGTTAAACCACCAAGTCTGGAAGGGAAGGGATGAGGGAATGGAGTCAGAGGCTGCCACACTGCACCCTTCCTGTTGAATCTGAGCCTGTGTACAACCTAAAGTGCAAAACTCATGGGCAATAGGGAAAAATAAGAGGGAACCTGACTCGAACCTAATTGTTAGGACATTGAGAAGGGAGAGGTCTGCTTCTGGGCCTTGCTCCAAGGAATGTTTATGCATAGAATCATAGAAGTAGGGTCGGAAGGGACCTTGTAGATCTTCAAGTCTGACCTCCTGCCTGGGCAGGAAGAAAACTGGGCTTAAATGACCCCAGCCAGGTAGGCATCAAGCCGCTTCTTAAAGACCCCCAGGGTAGGGGCCAGCACCACTTCCCTTGGAAGTTGGTTCCAGATCCTAGCCTCCCTAACTGTGAAGTAGTTCTTACAGCATTTTATTCAAGGACTATTTAATATAAAGTATGGAAGCAGCCCTTGAGGAAAGGACTTGAACACAAGACTTTTCTGTCTCCATGAATCTGTCTATCTAAGCAGTGCCCTAACTGCTGGGCTACAAAATTAGGTCATTCTAACTTTTTCCCATTCTGAACTACTATATTTTCTTCAGGCGCTGCACAGGGAACCTTAGTGGCTCAATTCTGATGCCAGGCACCTGAAGTCCATGGGCCATGAATTTCATTAGGTACCTAAATGTGTATTTTTGGCATGTTGAGTCCTCGCCATCCTGGGCAGCATGACATTGAACTTATGCCCAAGCCCCATCAGTATACAAAATTAGGAACTTATCTGCCTCTCAACTGCAGAGCTGCATTCATCAAGTATTTTCAGAACACATCAATCAGATCAGCTGCCATGGATTAAAGCACTCACCCATGATGCCATAGATTAGTTCGGGATCTGTTTCTTTTGTTGCTTCAAGGTAGAGGTCTAAGTAAAACATTGTGTCAGACAGCACCTTTCATAATAGCCCAGTGATTAGGCACTGACATGAGTTCCAGTAAATGCTAACATGCTCTATGCAAATTAGAGCCATTTCCACCAGATGGTACAATTTCCACAACGTGTCTTTGCTAGGTATTGCAGCAGCCTTCAGGTGGAGAAAGAGTTTTGAAGCTGTTTAGGCTCTATCCGGGTAGATCCGGGTAGATCCAGAGGGGATTCAGTGGTATCACCTCCTTGGCTCCACTGCACTTGAGCTCTTGGTTGGGACCTGACTGGAGCACCTGCTTTGTGGGGGGCTCTGGAGTACTTCCCTCCCCAGACTTGTTCTATCCTTTTCCCTGTTGTTGAATCAGCGGGGGAGAAGAGGAAGGGGAAGGGTCAACAACAGCAGTTCTTACCCTCTAGGTTCCAGAGCATGCAGAAGCATGGGCTCTGTCCATAATCCACCTCAATCACTGGAGCTCTGGTAGGAGCCCACACTGACCAGGAACAGGTCAAGGTGAGATGACCTGGAGCTGCTATTACAGAGAGGGGAACTGAGCCCTGGTCCCCCTTTTTCAGTGCGAGTGTACTCACTACAGAAGTTTTTTTTTGTGGGGGGGGAGGGGGGTAATTTAATTTGTATCTGAGGCCAAATTAGCCAAAACTAATTCCAAATCCAAGAGTCCAGAACCATAAGTGGCCCTACTACCGGCAAACATCCTCCACTGCACCTCGGCGGGTACTGAGACATGCCAGAAGAGCAGTTCTTCTGCGGTGCGGTTCAGAAAAACTGCCTTCTTGGACACAGATACATGGTATATCCCCTGCCAGGTTAAGAAGCCACTATACTTGTTCTGAGCCTTCAAGAGGCTGAGAAGCATATTGGATTATTGTGGGTAGCACTACCACCACGTACTGTTTCCACTAGACTTTGAGGGCTGGGTGGGCATAAACAACTAACTTGAGACTAGGACTGTGTGAAACGGAAGCATTCTGTTTCGATCAGCGTTTCAACGTTTTGACAGAACAGTGTTTCATTTCAACTTTTGAGTCAAAACGGCTGTTCAGTTTCGTTCCACCGAAACGTTTTGCCATTTCGACCCTGTTTCGATATTTCGCCCATAGGATATAATGGGGAAGGTTGAAACAGGCTATAACTTTGTCAATTCTGGACAGATTTGAATGAAACTTGCAGGAATAGTAGCCCCTTCTGAGGGCATGACACATGCCAAGCTTCAGGAAGATAGGTGCAGGGGGTTGGAGAAACTGCACCCTAAAGTCTTGGAAAAACTCATGTCACGTATATGTGGTAAGCCACAGTGGGGTCAAAACTGCAGGGATGGTAGCCCCTGCTGAGGCAACAAAGCCTGCCAAGGTTCAAGGAGATAGGTGCAGAGGGTTCAGAGAAACTGCACCCCAAAATCCTGAAAGCAAAACTTGTGTCACGTGTACGTGTTAAGACACAGTGGGGTCAAAACTGCAGGCATGCTAGCCCCTGTGGAGGCCACAAAGCCTGCCAGCTGTCAATGAGATAGGTGCAGGAGTTCTGGGTTTTGGGGCCCTGCACCTCTGGCTGCTGACAGGCAAAACTCATGACATGGGTGCTTGTGGCACTGTGTCTGCCTTGGGGTACATGGGGGTGAAAACTGCAGGCCTGCTAGCCCCTGCTGTGGCCATGAAGCCTGCCAGCTGTCAAGGAGATAGGTGCAGGGGGAGTCTGGGTCACTTGCCACCACAGACCTGGGGGTAATAATTTACTACTGTCTGAACATGAGTCTGCCTGATCATATGGGTAGCCCTTCTCTGGACTCTGAAGCTTTACCACGTCCTTGTTAAAGTGTGGAGCCCAAAACTGAACACAGTACTCCAGCTGCAGTCTCACCAGTGCTGAGAAGAGCCGAGCAGAGCAGGAGAATCACTTCTTTGCAATGGTTTTGCTGGAGATGCATCAATTGATGCATGCCAGCGTATTGTTGGCCCTACTAGCTACAGCATCGCATTGCTGGCTCACGTTCATACTGTGGTCAATTATTACCCCAGGTCTGTGGTGGCAAGTGATGGGGGATCTTCAGTCCTGCTGCCTGATGAGAGGCAGAAGTTGCACAAGCACCCATGACACAAGTTTTGCCTGTCAGCAGCCAGAGGTGCAGGGCCCCAGAACCCCTCTGCACCGATCTCCTTGACAGCTGGCAGGCTTTGCAGCCACAGCAGGACCTAGCAGCCAGACCTGCAGTAGTTTCCCCCACTCCGTGCCCCAAGACAGACACAGTTGCACAAGCACCCATGACACAAGTTTTGCCTGTCAGCAGCCAGAGGTGCAGGGCCCCAGAACCCCTGCACCTACCTCCTTGACAGCTGGCAGGCTTTGTGGCCTCAGCAGGGGCTAGCAGGCCTACAGCTTTCACCCTGCTGCGCCTTAACACAAACAGTGTCACCCATGTCACAAGTTTTGCTTGTCCGCAGCTTGAGGTGCAGTTCCCCCCAAACCCCTGCACTTGTCTCCTTGAAACTTGGCAGGCTTTGTGGCCTCATCAGGGGCTAGCATGCCTGCAGTTTTGACCCCGCTGTGTCTTAACATGTACACGTCACAAGTTTTGCTTTCAGGATTTTAGGGTGCAGTTTCTTTGAACCCCCTGCACCTATCTTCTTGAAACTTAGCACATATCATGCCCTTAGAAGGGGCTACCATTTCTGCAAGCTTTATCCAAATCTAGCCAGAAATGACAAAGGTATATGCTGTTTCAACCTTCCCCATCGTAGCCTATGGGTGAAACGGCGAAACAGCGGCGAAACGGCAAAACATTTCAACTTGCCTCGTTTCGTTTCGAGGCTGTTTCTACCATATCTGTTTCATTTCGATGTTGCTGTTTCAATCTCAAAACAAAGCTGGTGGCGAAATTTCGCACAGCCCTACTTGAGAGAGTTTGGGTTTGTGAGCCCTGATCAGAGGAAGGTGCCTAAAAGAAAGGCAAGGTTCCCTGTCCTCAGAGGTTCCTGTGAGGTAACTTAGGCAGCTTTCTGCTTCTTAGGCAGTTCTCTGCTTCTGTGCTACCTGTTTTGGATCCTATCCTGAGAGTCACCTAACTTGGTGCGTGCACTGTAGGAGCCCAGTCTTCCATCTCAGGGCTTTGGACCCTGCTGTAGTGACAGTGTGCCTATGTTCTGTTGTGGCTCTTGCTGAAGGAGAGAAGTTCGGCTGTAAGGGATAATGTGGGAAATTGTTAAAGAAAATATTCACCCGTGGCTAATGCACATGATGTCAGAGAGTTCCAACTAGATGGGAAGCTTGAGTTCCTATTGTGCAGTTACGGTATGCATTGGGGCAGCATGAGGGTCCAACACCAAGTTGTTTGACACCAAGTTTCTTAAAGGGCCTGTTTTAATCACTTTGAATTTAAACTAATTAACACATTTTTTTACAGATTTTCAAAGTGCTTAGTAAGTGTCAGGAAGCTGGGGAAGTTATGCTGTATTGACTAGAACGGGAGGGTACGTGGAAAATTGTGAGGCTTTGGAGAAAAATCAGGAGCCCAAATATTCTAGTTCTCCCTTGTCACTGTGGTGCTCCACACTTGCTTTCTCTTCTGTAGAGCAGGATCCTGGGTTCAAGCAGCATATCCAACATTGCACCAAGTTCTGCTGTCTTTTACTGGCAGGAAATTGTGAGTTATTGCTGTGGTATGGCTGTGAGCCTGGCCGAGCTGACAGCATGCATCCTCTGGGGAGCCCAACCCTTCCACGAGTTCCCATGAGGCACTGTTTTAGAATCAAAATGTTGGGTTTTGTGGTGAAATCTGCCCAAATGGTAGAGCTCTAACCCTGGTCCCACTGCAAATGGGGCATCCCTACCACACGCACAAGCATTGCCCTGCCTCACACATAGTGCTGACAATGCCTCTTGCTTCTTGTGCCCAGGTGCAGCTCTCAAAGCCCCAGCATGAAGAGAAGCACAGCCATATGCTGGATATTCATCCTGCTGACTGCTTTCTTCTGTGATGGCGTCACCTGCAAGGGCGGCCGGGGTGGGGCTCGGGGAGCAGCCCGCGGCAGTGCACGGGGGAAAGCTCGGCCCCGGATTAAGTCTGCCCCTCACTATCGCTCCTCAGGCACTGCGCTCCGGGTGGCTGCAGCCGCGGCAGCAGGGGCAGCGGCAGGGGGGGGGCGGCGGCAGAGACGACAGGACG